ACACACACACACACACACACACACACACACACACACACACACACACACACACACACACACACACAGAAGTTTGTGAGGGTGAAAGGTCATGTATGAGTTACCTGGCCTGTGTGATAGCAGCCACCCACTCGTCACAGTCTTTGACGTCTTCTGTGCGCAGCTCCAAAGTCTTCTGGTTCTCATGACTGAACGTGACCGTGAAGTAATACTGGAGGACAACATTTTACAGAAAATGTTTAGCATTTTTACAACTAAAAAAAGAAATGCTAGAAAAAATACGTAAAATAGTTTGAAAAAAAAAAAGAAGAAATGTCAAAAAAGTGAACATATGTTTCTGAATGTAACCCTAAAGACTCGCCTTGGGAAACTCGTAAATAAAGAGTTAGCTCTTTATTTACGAGTTAATAAAGAGCTAATAAGAAAAAGTCCCTATTCTTTTAGAACATAAAAACTGTCACTGAAATCTGTCAGATTGTGAAACAATGATGGTTTGTAAATAAAGAAAAACAAAAAAAATTTCCTTGTTTTTGTATCCATTAAAACTGAGAAACTCACTTGTGAAAGAAAATAATGTCCTACGTTTCATAATGAGCAAACCTGATGATCTTTAATAATGTGCTTTCCACTTTGCATCCTAAAAGCTGGGGTGTCGAACCTTCTGAGCACCTAAAGTTGACTACAAGTTACTAAGTTTTCCTGCTATAGTTGATGATAAATAAAACTTTGTAACGTGAGGAAGTTTTAAAAAAATGTTGGGATTAAATAAATGAGAGAAGGATAAATTTATATACTATCCAGTGGTGGGCACAGCTAACCAAAACGGTTGCTTTGCTAACTCATAACCCGCTAACTAAAAATATAGCTTTGCAATTGCTAAACATGGAAAACGACACAGTAAAAACCAGTGTTAAAATGTCAGTGTTAAACTTTTCAGTGTTAATTTAACTCCCCCTAGTGTTTTATTTTAACACTTTCTGAGTAAACCGACTTCCATTGTTGATGTTTATTCACAGTGTTGATTTCCTCAGTGTTGCCTCAACACTGGAAAGTGTTAAATAAGCCCCGCCCACTGTTAAGTCTTACATAACACTTAACAGTGTTGTTTTCTAACACCATGCAGTGTTGAAAGAAGTATTTTGAAAAGCCCCGCCCTCTTCCACCTCATGTCAGACAGACACATCAAGGAATGCTGGGTAATCTTGTAGAAATTATGTGTTTGCATGTTTATGACTATTGAAGAAGTTCATGAGAGTAAAATTAGTTGTTCTAGTTAGTTGTTTTGTTCAGGTTTATCAGTTGATCAACTTTAAGTTTGTGTTATTGGACATAAATCGACACCATGAGTGAGAGGTGCTTCCTGATGTGTGAAGGTTGACTCATTACACTTATCCTGAAACTACTGTGTAATGTTGATGCAACACTAAATAGAGTTTATCTTAACCCTACAGTGTTAAACTTACACTTTCAAATTTGCTGTGTAATGACACCTCATAGTGTCTGTTTTACACAGCAAACGAGTAAGTAATCAACACAGTAGTGTCAAATTAACACTCATAGGAGGTATATGAACCACCAGTGTTAACCATCAATAACTCAATGCAGTGTTGAAAAGCATGAGAATCAGAGTTGATTTGACACCACAGTGGAGAACCTTATTAAAGGGCCAATATTATGTGTTTCTCAGACATATATTTAAATATTATACCATAATAAAGTATCTACTGTGTCACCTTTAGTTGTTATTAAAATGCTGTTTTTATGTTTAAATAGAAAATAAACTTATCTTCTCATCACTTCCTCTTCTAAAC